TTCAATCCGGTGAAGTGTTAAATCCCTTTGAAGCCAAATGGCGCTGTCATCGTTACTATTTACAAAAGAATGCTTAAATTAATTTTTAATTAATTAAATTTTGAATTGCTTAAATGGCGAAGCAGAGTGAATCTGGTTGCCTGAGTGTCTTCAACAAATGTGTAAAATAAAGATAATGAGATATTATAGTTTGTTAACTAGCAGTTTAATTAAGAGTTACAAAACACATTGAATTGGCCGGGTCAATAAACATTTAAAAATGACTTAGACACTTATACTACAACAAAACAGCAATACACATACGGATTTTCCCGTATTTCTTCAATTAAATCGGGATCTATTTCTACCGTTCAGGATCTCACAGTTGCAGCTATCGCCATATTCAAAATTACCCGTGATCCTTCAGAAGCAGGACTTTCGTCTGATTAGTTGATCTCTACGTGGAACACAGCTGCTAAGGAAACATTTTCGGAAAGATTTCAAATGTTCCTCATAGCCGAGACATAACTTCCTCGGCTAAACGGTACATTTCTCAGAAACCTCCCGTTTCAACCAGTGCTACTAGAATCTCTTTTCTCGGAAATGTCCGCGTGCGTCGCTTGATATGACAGCCCCTCAAAAGGGAGAGTATATAATGTACTTCTCCCGCCCTAATGACTCTACAAGGTAATTAAATCATTGGTATTGAGTTTCAGGCATTGAAAAGGTTGCACTTATGTTTCATAACCTTCAGAACCTGTGAGGTAGCATGAACTTCATGAATACTTCAGCACGGTAGGGGTAATTCAGGATATTTCACTTCTCGAACAAACTCACTCATGTCGAATTTAGCATCTGTCGCTCATGAATAATTTTAATGATTAGGTCTTAGCAATCGCTCAGTAACCATTTTTTCTATGGTCGTCGGTGTACACCCTAGGGTTATGTACAACATTCGGATCTTGATGATCATCCGTTGAAGAATATCGGAAACCGACACATCATGAACCTGGGCTGCAGTAGAGGTCTCGAGCTCGTCCATTCAAAACATACGGTATTTCTCCGTGTATAAGACACAATTTTCTTTAAACTTTTCGTGTCTAAAAACTGGGCGTGTCTATACAACTATGGCAGCGGCGCAATGGAAATGCCAGCGGCGGCGTTGCGGCGAATGAAGACAAGGGTGAAAGATTGTCGATGACGCATACGGGAGGTGCGTCTTAACCCGAAAGATTGTCGACGACGCGTATGAGAAGTGCGTCTTAACCCTTAGAATCTCAAGTTCTTAGAATGTCAAGGCCTTCGCTAACCTATTTTTTAAAAAGCCGAAACGTCTATCTCATTTGAGATTCAAAACAATCCCCTCTCTTTCATTAAGGATCAAAGTGGTGCGAAGGTTTCAAAAGATATCATTTCTAGCAAACAAGTTCTCCCTCCCCGACTTCATACTAAATCACCTTTAATCTACAGATAAGGAACTACAAAAGAATCCCTTTAGGGTAAACCTGTTTGCAGCAAAGATGAATTGATATAATACAATGTATTTGGGGAAACTGAACCTTGGATTATTAGTCCAAAGGGGCTTTGTCCCTGAGGTACTACTGTTTTCGTTTTCCAATTTTGCTTCGAATTACTCTGATTGTCCGTTTCACTTTTCAGACTGTTGCTACAAAATATTATCGCCCTGTTGCTACAAAATATTTGAAGAAATTAAATAATGAAGAATCTTCATAAATGTATGGCTGTTTCTCGCATCGTGATAAAAGAACGGTACCTAGAGAAATCCAATTTTGAATGAAGTAATCCTGCTGCGAATATGGGTATCTGGAAGCCCAAATTTGAATTTGTTTCATTACCAATTTCATATTTTGTAAAACTTAACGAATTTTTCGCTAACAAACTCAAGGACTCCAAAGCAAACAATGGCAACGTTGTAGAAAATATATATATATATATATATATATACACTTTTATCTCTAGGGCGCGAGACTGTGTATCGGAAATTCTAAAGATAGGCTCAAATTTAAAATTATTTTGCGATTTTGCTCTTGAACAGAATTTTATGGTTTAAGTGCGAAGAACATGATATTTAATAAATAAAGGTAACACACAAAATGTTAAAAAAAAATGCTCCTTTGGACATAACTTAAAATCTGAAACTTTTCAGATTTTTTTTCCCCCTTTTTCTTTCTTTTTAGTCCAAAGGGGCTTTGTTCCTGAAGGACTATTCTTTTCGTTTTGCGATTTTGCGTGGAATCTCTATAAACGGCGAATCACTTTTCAAAGTGTTGCCACCAAATGTTAAAGTCCTGCATTATATTTGAAGAAATTAAATAATGAAAAATCTGCATAAATGTATGTCTATTTCTCGCATTGTGATAAAACAACGGTACATACAGCCATCGAATTTTGAATGACGTAATCCTCCTACGAATATGGGCATGTGGAAAACCAAATTTGAAATTTGGAATTTGTTTTATTATCGATTTCATATTTTTCAAACCTTTAACGAATTTTTGAGAAACAAACTCAACGATTTAAAAGCGAGCGCTGGAAACACTCTAGCGGGGGTGGGGGGAAAAAAAAAAAAAAAAAAAAAAAAAAACTTTTTATCTTTATTCCGAGGAACTATGTATCCGAAATTCCAAAGATATGCTCATTTTAAAATTATTTTTCGACTTTGATATTGAACTGAATTTTATGGTTTAAGTGCAAGGAACGTGATATTTAATAAATAAAGGTTATGCCAAAAGAAAAGCAGAACACAAGACGTTAAAAACACGCCGCTTTGGACTAATTTAAAATCTGAAACTTTTAAGATTTTTTTTATTACTTACTTTTTTCCCCCCATAATTTAGGGGGAACACAGATGAGGTCCGACTAATGATACGAAATCTGGCAGTGATGACGAATTGTATACTGAATAATCTTTGATTTCAAAAACTTTATGACTGGTAGTTCGGTCTGAGGTTCGAATCCCGCGAACGGGCTGGCTGCATGGGTGTTTTCGTGGTTTTCCCCATGTGTAACGTGTATACGAGCCAGTTTCCCTTAGAAAGTCCTCCACGAAGGCATCCCCTCTTAGGCAGATAGCTCTAGTGTGCTTTGCCATAATTAAATACACATACACACAAAAACTTTATGCAATATTTTTCTCCTATTAAATAGTAATCTAGCAGGGTAATAAAAACCAATCCGTCAAATAAATAATTCTTCATGTTTTTTCAATTTTCGGGTCCCAAAATCAAGGTGCGTCTTATACTAGGCGAAATACGGTAGCTTTTAAGTGCACTTATGCAAACACAGGTAGGTATAGTTTGAATATCAGTTACCGAACTGACTGAAACAGCTTAAGCAGAAGACAGAGATCAAATTTGAAAGATTAAATCATTAAATTCAATGAATAAATCATTGTATTTATTTTATTATTTCATTGAATTTATTCATCAAAGACTCATTAAATTTGCCCAAAATATGAAATGAATGCATACTTTCATTTCATATTTTGAGGTGAGTGCACATATTTGGGAGGACAAAGCTTACTTTCTAAAATTAGAACTGCCGGAACCCTGTCAAATGCTGTCAGAAAGGAGTGAAAAAACAGATAAATAAAATAACTAATAATTAAAATAATAAAACAAATAAATTCAAATTCAATAAAATGTAAAAAGATAAATAAAAATTTAAAAAATTATTAAATTAATGATAAATAGTTTAATAATAAAATAAAATGATAAATAGTTCAATAATAAAATAAAATTATAAATAGTTCAATAATAAAATAAAATAAAATTCCAGCTCTAGCTGGAAATAATAATAATTCCAGCTAGAGCTCCATATAAGACTATCATTTTTTTTTTCCTTCCAGCAAGTTATTGAAAAAAGTTAAAACGATTATAACGTCACTAAATAGTATGAGAATATGGAAGTAATATTAACGGATAAGAATAAGTGTAACTTCGAAAACAAAGAGAAAAATCCAACACTTTCTGATCGCAATACCTTGCCGATATAATTCTAGCTATCAAGCAGAATGTGATAGGAAAAAATTTCTCCTAAATTTGATCCAATAACAAGTGAGAAAGAAAGTAAATATCTGTATAAATGACAGTTTTCGCTCCGTATTTGGTTATGCCTGCACGGGTTCTCTAGTGGGAAGTTATATAATCTGCTACTTTAAAACAGAAACTTCAAGGTCATTTTCTACCGCCCTATTTTTCTCGTCGACATGGGAACGATAGCTGCAGCAGACGATTCGCATCGGCTAACTGTTTACCTCCATTCCATTTCCGTTTAGCGTATGAAAAACTAGTGAACGAAGGCTGACTTTAACTGTATTTTCAAATGAGGTAGAAAAAACAAGTGTTACTATCCGTGGAGGTGGAGAAAATCAAATGAGATAGAGAAAACAAGTGTTATTATCCGTGGAGGTGAAGAAAATCAAATGAGGTGGAGAAAACAACTGTTAAAACAAGTATGGCATGCGATACTATCGCAAATGGGAGGGTGCCCACAGCCTTGAAGACCCTATTAGAAAAAAAAAAGATTATAGTGTTGGACGTGCACGAGCAGAGTATTCTGGGAAAGAAAAATTAACCTGCTCTCATAAATTATTAAATCTATGAGAGCAGGTAAAGCCTTTGGGCACTTCCAAGAGAATAAGCCTTTGACACGTGAGTAGTAATCCTGAATCACGTGACAACCGGAAGTGACGTAGATAGATTGGTGACGTTGACGGAATGACGTCACGAATAGTTTTGTTTTTATTGTGCGGCTACGATCCTATTTTTGAAAGTTTTTATTTTTTGTGGAAAAAAAATATTATGTTATCTTACAAAATGGCGTCTGCCGTATCACACCTTTGTATGTCTCCGCTCAGGTGTATGGATACTTTTCTGTGGACCAATCGGATTCTTTGAAACATGACCTCACCGTCTCTTAACCAATCACCGTTCAGATGAAATAAAGAGTTCTTACCCAATATAAGGCTATCCCGAAAAACGTTCCGCATTTCTTTCCTTGCTGTCGCCCTGAGTGTACGTACCTGCTTTTGCTTCGACCACCATCTATGATTCTCCACTGCTCTGAATGAATCAGTCACGAAACCACAATGCACCAGAAGTAAGTAACTTTTTGAAAATATACTGTTTTTAATTTTTAATCTTTTTAAAAAAGTAGCTGGAATTTTTAATGTGTGCTTAATCTGCCTTTACTTTTTTCAGATGGAAAACCTATTTGAGAAAGAACCTATGGCTTTGAATGATAAAATGCTGAGTCATGAAAACCTTGTTCGCAGCCATGATGTTCCAAGAGAATCAGCTAGTTCATTATGCCAAAAGAAAAGCAGAAGAAACAACCCATTTCAAGAAAAAAGTATGTATTTGCGAAAAGTTTATATTGTATGTGACCCCATTTTTTTAAGGTATTATATACTAAATTTTTTCTTTCAGCGCAGAGGACTTTTCACTGAAGACGCTTTTCCAGAGGAGCTTACTCACATGGGAAACAATGTCTTTGTGGGACCCAGCATTTACAAGGGAAAAGTTACTGTGCACATCCGAGAGTATGCCAAATATGGTAAAGCTTACTATCCGACAAGACGAGGTGTGAACTTTGAGCCATGGTGTTTGAATGTTCTCGCAACCAACATGACAGTGGACGAACAAGACCTGCTGGTACTCAATCTGGAGTTGCCCAAGAACTTTGTAGTCACGTATAAGGATTCCCACCTTCACTCTGAAGCAAGGAGCTCAAGGAGAATGAAAAAAGTAACCTCAGCATTACAACTACGCAGTGGGAAGAACTGATGACCAACTTTAGCCGTATCAGCGACATTGTCACCAACCTTGTTTATAAAAACATGAACTTTTGTGAAGCCTACGAAAGCATATCCGACGAACCTGTTAAGAGGGAAAATCTGCCCCAATCCTTCGAAATTTCTATGGGAAGAACACGTTTCCAAATTATTCTAAAGACGTAGCTTGAAGAGCTTCTTAACCAACAAGAAGAACTAAAATATCCCAAGCTCTTTCATAAAACAGAACTTGTTCATAAGAAGAACTAATTCTTAAAAACTCATTCATAAAACAGAAACTGTGAATGCCATTGCTCTGAGGTTCAATGCTGTTGACATCGCCAGACAATTTTTACGGAAATATTTGGGCTGAAGAATCCTATTTAATGTTACTGAAACGTATTCACTACATTACCAAGGACTGTTTAAAATCTGTGTGTTTAAACTATGTACTCGATGAAGAAAGAAACACATTTTGTACTACGAATGGTGTCTTAGGTATTGAATACTATGAATATTTGTAAAATAATTATGATAAAATGTTATTTTATTTTACAACGATCTCATGACTGTCTCCAGGTTCAGACATTATTTAAAAGAATTAATCTGTAATTAACACTTACATAAATTTTAAAAATACCTATTTAGTACAAACCTATTGATTTTTATAGAGTATAAATATTGTTGTTCTTAAACATATATATCATTACTTGTTCAACATTTGAGATGTTAAGTAGCATTCATTTTCTCTCTTGTACATGTGTTAGACCTATTTTCTAGAATCTTTATATAAGCAAGTTATTAGAAACTCTGGCATTATTTCCCTGTTCTAGTTAAATATATATAAATGAATATCAGTGTACGCTTAGATCATAACAACTGTTGTAATGAATACAACTATGTCTCAGACCTATCGGGATCCACAGGTCTCCACAAGTTTCGGGAGTGTTGCTACTTTGCATCATGCTTTAAAAGATCACGTAAAATCAAAAGACATCCAGAAATGGTTGCAAACCAAGGATTCTTATACTTTGCATAAGCATTTGAGGCACAAGTTTCCCAGGAACAGAGTCATTGTAGGAGGCTTAAACGAGCAATTTCAATCTGATTTAGTGGATATGTAATATCTTGCCTCTTTTAATGATGAATACAAATATTTGCTTAATATTTTAATTTTTAACAAAAAAAATCAAGTTATCAGCTTATGCTTTTATTATTTTTAATAATTAAGGATTTCTTTATATTTAAAAAATATATTAAGATAAAAATAAAAAGGATATCACAAAAAATAAAAATAATTAAATACTAAACAAAGTTCAAATTATAAGATATTTCTCCCGCCTTCCTAGCGTGCCTTCGTGGTTCTGCACACTGGGCCGGTATTCCAGAGGGCCGTGGTTCAATTCCCGGCGAAGGCGTTTGTTAATTCTTCATCTCTCTTGCTCCAAAAAAAAAAAAAAAAAAAAAAAAACCTAATGTCTCTACAAAATATCTGGTTTAAGTAGAATTAGGGGGGTGGCCCAGCTAATTTTTGTCATACAGCCATATTTATCATGCATTCTTCCATGGCTGGCGTAACCATTGCAACCGCGACAGGCAGCAGAATTTATAGGCGCGAAAACTTTTAAAACTGGTAATGGTACCGGACGGCAGAATTTCGGACCCGCAGAGTTTGCGCAGGCCGGCAAAAAGCCCAGTGTCGGCTTCGCATTTTCCATTCCGTTTCGAATTTAAAAGCATTGCTAGTAAAAGCCTAAATTTTTTCCCGTCTTTTTATACCCAGCCAACCAATCATAACCTATAAACATTAAAATTTTTCATGACAATGCGCTGATCTAGATGAATAAATCAACGGACTGCAGTCATAAGTGTTGTATATTAGGCGCATTCTTTTCAAGTTTCCATTTTGTGAAAACTGAGTATATTATACGCATATTAATGAAACAAACTATATCATAACAGCAAAACGTCGATTTTTCTTTTACTATATAAAGCATTGACTTCCATTGCTATATATACTGGTATGTAGGAAAATCAAAATTTGTTGCTTAAAGTTACTTCACTTAGTTACCTTCTAAATTAGTATTAAAATAGCTTTTGATGCATTTTCTGAAGAATTATTTTAAGTTCACTATTTTATGTAACTAAAAAAGAACTTGAAAACGTAATTTTTTTTTTTTTTTTTTTTTTTTTTTTTCGGATAGAGCGAACATTTATGGTACAAATAAAAAACAGAAACAGACGACAGCATTTATTGTCAGTCCAAGATAAGTAAGACCTCTTATTTGTCTTCTATGTTATAAAACAAGGCTTAAACTGCACCATAGCCTAGCTCCGGGAAGAGGGCTCCAGTATATATATATATATATATTTTTCTTTACGTAATTAAACCATAATTTCAGCAGAAAATTCTTTTGATCTTAAAAATTTTATTTTAATAATAAGTAACTCTTAGAAATTGATTCTAACTTCAATATAAATGTATAAATGCCTTATTTATTTTTCGGTAGAAAAAATACTTGGTCAGAGGCAAGACTTTTAAGAACAGTAAAGCCTCATTCTTCAGGAATTAATGTGAATTTATGACAGCGAGTAACGTCCAACGCTAGAGACTCCGAGGAAAAGTTGGATTTTGGAACAAGTAACCAATTACGGCGGACGATATATATCACCCATGCATGAACCATACGTTTGTTCACAATTAATCCTCGGACTCCGTGAAAATTTCCCTTCCACGTGATATTCTGCTTAACAGAATGTGACGGGTGACTCTGTATAACTTTGGGCTGATCACACAGGCTCGTCCTGGCGACGTATCTTTCAAGTGTCTGGTTATCAACTGTCAATGGTAGTTTACGCGCCTACGGATAATCAGGATTCGATTCCGGAGAGGGAGCCTGAGAAACGGCTACAATATCCAAGGAAGGCAGCAGCGCGTAAATTACCCACTCCCAGAACGGGGAGGTAGTGACGAAAAATAACAATACGGAACTCTTTTGGGACCCCGTAATTGGAATGAGCATACTCTAAATCCTTTAACGAGGATCAATTGGAGTGCAAGTCTGGTCCCAGCAGCCGCGGTAATTCCAACTCCAATAGCGCATATTAAAGTTATTGCGGTTAAAAAGCTCGTAGTTGGAAATCAGAACGACAAAGGACTGTGGTCAGAAAGTGTTGCACTGTTCTCTATTTTCATACCTACACACTCTTCGTTAAATTTTCCTATTACTGTTTATAGCATTTTATTCTCAGTAAGGACGCTTTATTAAACCGTTTTACCCTTTTTTTCTCTGGTGTGCAGGAGAAGAACGGTATTTGTTTCTATCACCCATTGAATTATTTCTTAGTTTTTGAGTGAAACTGTAATATGGGGCAGAACGCCGACTAAAAAGAGGTGCGGGATTTCTTTATTTAACTACACAGCTGGTCACTAAAATTGCAACACCAAAAAGTAAAGCAAATGTAAAAAAGATATTTATTGTACGTAATCATCATGGCATGAAGACAAAATGACTAAATTTTTAAGTGGTTTGGGGGTCTACAGTGCTGCGATATTAGTAGAAACAGCTGCCACCCCTGGCAACTAAAACGACTCGTACCCTGTTAGGCATGGAGTCGAACTGGGCTTGGATGACAGAAACGGGCAACTCATTCCATGCTGCTTCAAGTATATGCCACACTTTATCAACCGTATTAGCTGGAAAGGGGTGGCGGGTCAGTCTCTCACCAAACCATGACCAAATATTTTCAGTGGGTGACAGATCTGGAGACCGTGCAGGCCAGGGCAGCATTCGAATACCCTATGTATCGAGGAAGGTCAGAACACGACATGCAACATGTTGTCTTGCATTATCTTGTTGGAAGGTGGCGTTTGGCAGGCTTCGAAGACAGGGTACAACCACAGGACGTAAGAGGCCAGAAATGTACCGATCTGCGTTCAAATTACCGTCGATACGCACTAGAGATGTGTATGTCGCTTCCCAAACCATCACGCCAGGTGAAGGGCCCCATATGCCGATATCGGTTGCAAGGAGGCGACGTGCGGTGTCCTCGGACATTCCAGGCACGTATACGGCCATCAGAAGACTGCATGCAGACGACATTGCGCCACACCTGTATCTAGGGTTGTCGTTTGACGCACCAGAGTTGCCGTCTCTCTCTATGCTGCATTGTCAAGAAAAACCGAAGTAATGGTAGCCGTGCTGATAGTCCACACTGCTGCAAAAGTCGACGCACCGTACGCGCGGATGCTGGGCGTGCTGCAAGCATGCCCATTTTCTGACTAATGATCCGTGATGTGGTTGTACGGTTTTGTAAGGCTGACCTCACAATATATCTGTCCTCTCAAACGTGAATCATGGAAGGGCGTTGAGATCCTGCACGCCGTTCAATATGACCCTCAACACCCATTGATTCCATATTCGCATGACAGAGATTAAATGTTGACCAGTGCGACGGGCGATATCACGGAACGATAATCCACACTCTGGATAGACAATGATCCTGCCTTTTGTCGAATTCCAGTAATTGCTGTTAAGCATTTCTTCTTATTATTTGAGGCATAACACAATATTCTAAGCAAACGCCGACCTTACAAAGCGCTTTCCAAATCAGAAATCCGTTACACAACTTTTCTTTTATGCAGTGCTTCAGATGTCGCTTCTCCGTCCTGCGTCGTCTAAATGGGCTGAAATACTAATCATTTGCATATCCCAACCTCTTCTTCCTTTCTTGTGATTTTGACATTCGTTAGATCATTCCTTCCTGGTGTTGCAATTGTAATGGCCAGCAGTGTATTTATTATTAAATTAATCATTTATTACATTTTTGCTGATTTTTTTACATCTTATTGAATTAGTTTAGTTATGAATTATTTTAACTATTAATTTTACTATTTAGTTTTTGATCTTTTTTCCTGCGAGTTTTCCACAATTTTAACCACAACTCTAATTTAAGCCCTGTTATAAAATAGCGTTACTCATCAACATATGAGGGGTAATGATTTCAGTTATTTTGTTTCTTAGACACTTCGCAAAAAATATTATTTTATATCATAAATGCGATAAGTAAAATACATTTCTTTTATTCTATAGTATATCGACTGTAAAATTTTTAATCATACTTCTTCTGCACACTGTTAAAAGAAAACCGAATGGCGATAATGAAATTTTGCAATAATATAGAGACTACAATTCTTTGTCTATTTTTTAAATTTTATTCGGGCCAAAATATTTTTTTTATTTATTAAAATATTCCGTATTTTTTTAATTTATATCATTTTACATTCAAAAATGAAATGCGACAATAAAAGCTTTAAAAGCTAATGCGTAGCTTTTAAAAATTGAAATTCGAGTTGAATTTTAATTTTGTTTAAGAAGTGAAGTCTGTTAAACCAATATCCCATCATTTTATGATGATTTTAAACTTTTCTTGACATTTACCGTTTATCTATCTATCTCTCTCTATATATATGCCCCCAAAATGAG